AATTGTTGCATTTCAAGTGTTGCTGATTTGAAGAGCAAGTAATTAATGAGTGAGATTGTTGTGAAATATAGAGACAGGATTTTGTAATTATTTGCTGTACTTGTGTATTATGTATGTACTCCGATGTAACTTATTGTTTAATTAAAATAATAATTTCTACAAAATGTTCGATAAAGATTTGATTTCACATTTGAACGCTATAATGGTTATGTAATGGCTTTTAACTGCGCGGCTAACAGTTAATTTAATACGATTGCCATTGCTTGCCGGCAAATTTGCCACCAACTCACATTTATGTTATGACCAAATGCTGATACTCAATCAGATTACGCCCACCTATGGAGTGGAATGGCTTTGGCAGCAAATGTGTTCATTTGTATTTTAAATTTTATGACAAAATTCGCAGCAAAATTGCTGGCGCTTGTCAACTTACAGAAGCAGGTTCGTGTCTTAAATCTTTTGTTTTCTATTTTTATATACATATGCATGTGACTAGTTATTTTGCTTTGGATGCAATTATTTTTTTGTACTGATCCGTTGTAAGCGGTTCCGTTACGTTGGTAACTGCTCAATGTTCTTATTTCTTGAAGAAAAGCTGGGCATATGAAATGCAAGTAACTGTCACTTATCTAAGAAAATCCATATTTATCTTAAACAAAAACACAAACAAACATTACTATGCAACAACATAAAGTTAGAGTAGGTTCTTTATATGTACAGCACGCCATTAAATATTTTCTATAATTACGCTCATATTCAAAACCCAATTTTCGGGCATATCTTTATCTACAATATGTGCACATATGTATATTAGAGTGCCCCACTAAAAAAAAGTTGCAGTTTTTTTTGCACTGGAATTATACAACTTATTATATTTTAAGACCTGCGCCAAAATATTTTGAAAAAAAAATAAAATGATTTAGTGAGCTGGACCGATTTGAAAATACCTCCGAAAATTCCTCCATTGCGATTCCATTGACAAAATGTTCAAAGATTTTTATACTGACCTTCTAAACTAAAATTTTGCTATCATCTGAGCTAATTTTTTGTAAAAACTAAAAACGATTTTTTAAGATATTTTTGAATTGGTAAGGATCACTTTTGTAAGTCTTTTTCTGGAGTGTTTTGGCGTAAGTCTCATAATATGTGGATTTTTTTTATTTCCGACGGAAAAACCATTCCAGTTTTTTTTTGGAATGTAGAGTGATACAGCCTAACATACATATATATGTATATGAAACTGTCTGAAATATGTATCCCAGTAATACTATAAATGCCAAATTTTGTTAGTGGGAATGTTATTTGCTCTTTCACGCTATAATGGCTGGACCGTTTTTATTAAATATGGCACACAGTTAGTTTAAGACATAAATTAAGATGTGTAATATTTTTTGAAGAGGACTGTCACTTGTTTAAAATTAAATTCGATATGTGTGTCTATCAAAACAGATTTAAATTAAGTTTAATTCGAATACAGTTATGGGATGCCACCTTTTTAAAAAGTCTATTTCATTTTTAATAAAAGTTTAAATGAAATATGTATTAAAATATGAGTGGAAAAAATTGGTAAACAAAATTTTTTAAAAGAATGTTACTAAAGGGTTGCCACCTGTTTAAAAGGTTGAATTGAATTTAATTCACAAGTTAAATAAAAGGTTATCATAAATATCAAAGTGTCAAGAGCAAGAAGTTTAAGAAAGCTTTATTGAGTAAATATTTTGGAACTTGGAACAGGATTGCCAACTGTTAAAACAAGCAAATATCAACTTCATTCCTAAGTTCAACAAAATGTTGTAATATGGGTGCCAAATGAAAAATGTTTGAGGGACCATGACTTCGAAATTATTTCTAAGAAGGTTGCCAAGTGTTTTAATAGTCAAATTCAATTTAACTTATAAATTTGGTAAGTATTAAAATAAGGATATCGTATCTTCCCAAATTTAAATATTTTTTTCTTTTACTTAAGGTTCATTCCATGT